CTTTTTCCAGGACCAGAGGGCTTCCCAGTAACACCAAAATACCAAAAATTCTGGCTTTATGGTTTTAGTGTCATTCTTCACTTACTATTTGTATGTTTTAATAATCAAATCCCGTTTTGACTATTTAATTCAGAATAATTTTAGATTTACAAGACAAGAATTGTGGCATTACACAGTTTCCACATAACCCATACCCAGCTTCTTCTATTCTTAATATCTAAAATTAGTCACAATCTATAAACCATTTCCAGCGTCCTCTATTTTTCTTCTAATAATCCAAGCCATTTTAAACAAGAAATATAAGTTAAAGAGCTTAACTGAAAAGATACTAGGGGAAAAAATAAGACTACAACATTGGAGCCCAACTGTTGCAGCCCATCTGGGGAGTGACCCAGTAGATAGAAGGTCTCTCTGTCTATAGATCTGTCCCTCTCTCTCTGTAACTCTGACTTTCAAATAAATAAACAAATCTCTTTTAAAAAAAAAGACTGGGAACAGAGGCCACCAAGAGACTCCCTCTCCACAATGAATTAAGCAGAAGATACCAGAATGAGCTACCCCAACCAGGAGTCATTCACATGAAGCAGCAGCCAGGGGCCGGTGCTGTGGCCTAGTGAGCAGTCTCCACCTGCTGCACAGGCATCCCACATGGGCGCCAGTTCTAGTCCTGGCTGCTTCACTTCCCATCCAGCTCTCTGCTATGGCCTGGGAAAGCAGGAGAAGATGACCCAAGGACTTGGGCCCTGCACCTGCATGGGAGACCTGGAAAAAACTCCTAGCTCCTGGCTTTGGATCATCCCAACTCCGGCCATTGTGGCCTCTTGGAGAGTGAACAAGCAGATGGAAGACCTTTCTGTCTGTCTCTCCCTCTCTCTGTCAATAACTCTACTTTTCAAATAAATACATAAAATCTTAAAAAGAAGAAGGAGGAGGAGAAGCAGCAGCAGCAGCAGCCAATCTAAAAAACAAATGTTGGTCTTTCTCTTTTAAAAAGTGAGTTTATTAAAGTGGAGATACAAATGAGCCTCAACCTCTGTGGCCCACTTGAAATCTATGCTTGAGCTGCCATGAAAGGAATACATTTCCTACCAATGGTTCTTACTGAAGGAAAACCCTTGAGTTTCTTTCTTTTTTCAAAAAAGATTTATTTATTTATTGGAAAGTCAGAGTTACACAGAGAGAGAAGGAGAGGCAGAGAGAGAGAGAGAGAGAGAGAGAGAGTTTTTCATCCGCTGGTTCACTCTTCCTCAGTCGGCCACAACGGCCAGAGCTGTGCCAATACAAAGCCAGGAGCCAGAAGCTTCTTCCAATTCTCCCATGCAGGTACAGGGGCCCAAGGACTTGGGCCATCTTCTCCTGTTTTCCCAGGCCATAGCAGAAAGCTGGATCAGAAGTGGAGTAGCCAAGACTTGAACCGGCACCCAAATGGAATGCTGGCACTGTAGGCAGTGGCTTTACCTGCTACGCCACAGTGCTGGCTCCGGGTTTCTTTTTAATTAAGAAAATAAGCTTTGTGATAAATATATATAAAGGAATATTATTCAATCTTTAAATAGGAGGAGATGCAGCCATTTGTAAACTATCCCCCACGGATGAACCTAGAGGACACTATGCTATGGCAAGTATACCAAACACAGAGAAAAGTTCTGTGTGATCTCACTTATATGTGGAATTGAAAAAAGAAGTCAGGGGTTGGTGCTATGATGGAGTGGGTTAAGCTGCTCCTTATGTTGCTGGCATCCTGTATTTGTGTGCCGGTTAGTACCACACGCAGCTGCTCTGCTTCTGATCCAGCTCCCTGCTAATGCACCTGAGAAGCAGTAGATATGGCCCAAGTACTTTGGCCCCTGCCACCCACAAAGAAGATTCAGATGGAATTCCAGGCTACCTGGCTTCCGCCTGGCTAAGCCTCTGCTATTGCAGTCATGTGGGGAATGAACCAATAGATGAAAGCTCTCTCTTTTCCTTCTCTCTCTCTCTCTCTTTCTGCCTCTCAAATAAGTAAATAAATCTTTAAAAATTAAGAAGTCTAATAGAGAGTAGACAGGTGGTTACCATGGGCAGAGAAGGGCAGGAAATGAGGAGAAGTAGACCAAAGGGTTCAAACTTGGAGTTATGTAGGATGGCTAAGTCCAGGAATCGGAAGTCCGGCTGGAGAGCTGTAATTAATAATAATGTAGACTCTGTATTGAAACTTGGCTGAGGGTAGATTTTGGGTCTTATAACAATAACCAAAAGACGGGGTAACTATGGAAGGTGATGGGTATATTAATTTGTTTACCTGTATTTCACTATGTTTACGAATAGCAAAATATATTGTACATCTTAAACTGCTACAATAAACCCAATTTTAAAAAGATGAACTTTGATTGAGACCAACAGAATGAGCCAACTGTTCACCCAATATAAGTAAACAGGCAAATAACTTTATGTCTCAGCACCTCTCTTTTATCATCTTTAAAATGATGATAACAATGATAGCACTCATCTCTTAGAGTGTTAGAGAAGTTAAAAGAGTAAATTCTTGGAAAGAACTTGAAAGAGTGACACAGTAAGGTTTCAATAAACATTAGCAGTCATAGATATAGTAATAGCAGCAGTAGCATTAGTAAATATAGTATTAGCAGCATTAGTAATGAAAATATTAGCGGTTGTAGCATCGGTGGTGGTGGTGGAAATAGTGGCAGGTCTTGGTAGAGTCAATAGTAGCAGCAGCAGCAAAGCTCTGTACTATAACTTTGGCCACATTGGGCTTAAGTCAAAAAGAATCAAATTATACACAGTATCTTCACATATTGCTCTGACTGTGCTCAAAAGATTTGATTTCTCATACTTAAGAGTCTGAAAGTAACCTTTTTTTTTTTTGCCTTGAACTTGGAAGAAAGGTGGAAATGTGTTAGCAGAGATGCGTTTTTACTAGATTTTCAGGCATAGTGAAACTGCCAGAGAGTATGCATTTTGAGGGCCAAGATCTGCCTTCTGTAAGCCCTGAAAATGGCCTTGCCTGCCAAGAACTCTGCCTTGGCCAAAGCCTTGCTGTCCAGTGGCGCCCACTTGGCCAAGCCATCAAAGAGAGAACTGAAATTGGTCTCCAAGCCTATCGGGTTTGTCTCTCATTACCTGGCTAACTGTTTTGAGCTTGGGATATAATTATTTTTCTTTCTAGAGGAAGTTTCTGCCCACCAGTTATAATGAAGTTCAAGAGCTGGATGAAAACTGTGCACTCTGACAACTTGGGAATTGTTTAAGGCTTTCAATTCTTTCACATGTGTTATTCACTGTAACATTTATGTAAATTATAATGATGTGTATTTTCATGAAGAAATTGGCATATACTTGCAGTGAGAATGTTTTTAGAGTATCCTTAATTATGTTTCTTCAGTGAAAATATATTTCCTTGAAATAGTTCAAGATACCAAACAGTACATTCACAAACTGTTTTGTCTGTCATGTGATACAAGAAGACTGACCTCTCATAAAGGGAATTTACTGGAATTCCCACCAGCCTGCTAATATCCAGATCCTGAGCAAAGCTCAGAAGACAGTGAAGAAATGCATTTCCGTAGAGGAGTGCAGCTCCTGGAGGTAGCAGAGCACTAAGTCAGAGTCAGAGAAACTGCCTGGAGGCCCACTCATTTGTAGGTCCCACTCTCTTTGTTCAGTTTTCAGAAATGGATAAGCTCAATAGGATAGCATCTTGCTTAACAGCCGAGAAGAAGGCTGGGAGGTGTTTTCCTCTGGTGCTTGTAGTGGGATAGCTCCAGAGATACCACCGGGCTCTCACAGCAGTGAGTTCCTTCTCCCTGCTACTAGCATCCGCTCACCAGGCAAACTGGAGGAGCATTCTCCTGGAGTCTGTTTTTCTTTCGTTTCCAGCAGCCTGTTGAAAACAGATACACCTATTCCACCTCCTAAATAACCTTCAAAAGCGCTCATCTCCCTCTACATCCTTATTCATGTGGTCTTCATTTATTGCTCCAGTGAATACACTGATTTCCTTCCTATCTGGGCTTCCTGCCCATAATTAGGGGACCACTAAGTGCTACAACAAAGAAGCCTCCCAAGTACAGCGATCGAATAATAGAAGTTTATTTCTGATGTTTCTGTTCATGGTGATTCCAGACCCAGGCTTCTTCATTCTTGGGATTCTGCAATACTGCCAAACAGTAACAGTGATCAGCTCCCTTTTTTTTTTTTCCCCATACAGAGCCAGGCAGTTCATGGGTTAGGCTTTTGAGGCCATCCAGGCTCTGTTGCAGCTATTCAGATGTGCCACTGTAATGTAAAAGCAGCCATGTATGCAACCGAATGAGTGTGCCTGTGTATTAATAGACTTTATATGTGAATATTGAAGTTTGAATTTCATGTAATTTTCAGTGGTCATGAAATACTATTCCTCTTTTTTAAAACATTTTTATTTGTTTGAAAGGCTTAACAACAGAGAGATAGGGGGAGAGAGAGAGAGAGAGAGAGAGAGAGAGAGAGAGAGAGAGAGAGAGAACGAGCACGCCATCCTCTGGCTCACTCCCCAAATGACCTCAACAGCCAGAGCTCAGCCACGTCAAAGCTAGGAGCCAAGAACTCCATCCAGGTCTCCCACATGAGTGGCAGGACCTAAGCACTTGGACCATCTTCCCCTGCCTTCCCAGTTACACTAATAAGAAGCTGGGTCACAAGCAGCACAGCCAGGACCTGAGCCAACACTCCAAAACGTGATGCCAGCTTTGAAGCGGCTTCGTAATCCTCTGTACCACAGTGCCGGCCTCACTATTCCTCTTTTAATTTTTCCCCCACCATTTAAAAATGTAAAACCTGTTCTTAGTTCAAGGACCATACAAGGCTAGATTTCTTTCCTGGGGTCCATAGTTTGGTGGCTCCTGTGTTAGAGTTGAAAGAAAACCAAATTTAAAATGTTAGCCTTTGATTGAGCCACTTAGAGTTGTGTTGTTTTGTTTTAGCGGCTGAACACAAAACATTTGCGTCTTTGCTTTTTTTAACAGGCTCTGGAAATATGGCGGTGTCACATCCCATTGCTGCCAGCACACCTGAAGGGAGCAACTACGGGGCAATAGGTATTTCCTACAGTGCGTTCAATTATGTAAATGTTTCCTAATTCTCCAGAGAATAGGATACGAAGCATCTCCAGCCACTAATAACAGTGAGCATGGGCAAGGCAGTCATCCCATGAGCTTGTGTTTTATTTGTAACATGAACTGGCTGATTGATCTAGAAGGTTCCTTCTAGCTCTAACTTTCTCCGGTTCTATTCTGCTTCTTGAATCTACCAGCCACACTTAAGTCCTTTGAATGGTTGCTATCAACTATCAAGGCCCCCAAGGGACTTTTTACCCATTCTGGGTTTAGGACATGAAAGATAGGACAGAAGGAGCCTGACCTCCCTGACCAGTTGTTTCATCCTCAGGTTTCAGTGGACTAAGGATGATCAGAAGATAAGACAGTGCAGTAGGTGAACGTGGCAGTAGCCTAACAGTCCTTCATTTTGGCCAGTTTCATAACTGAACCTGCACACTGCCACCCAGTCATTCACATGGCAGACTCCAGTATTCATTCAGTGGCCTGAAAACAACTGAGTCCCTGACACCCGTCTTGTTGGGATAGTAGAGCATGGAGCTGCCTGCCCCTTCCACGTTGCGTGTGGGCCAGGGCTGGTGCTCAGTGTAGAGGGCCTGGGACACCTGTATTCCTGCCCTCTTATTCTATAACTCTGAGAAGCATGTGGGCTCAGTGCAGGCTACTTATTTTTAGTCCTGTAGGAACAGGATTTTTTTAAAGCCATCTGAACAGAAGAAATAAAGCGGAAGGTAGGCTCGCTCATGTGCTCATCAAGCTGCACAGATTCCCATCTGCTCTGGGAAACGTTCAGGGGAACAGAAGGATTCTTCTCCCTGAGCATGTTGTTTTCATTATATAACCGCAGATACGGCACGTGGGGGGAATTCTGTGTACAAATACTTCACGCGTGAGAAATGTGTAGCTGCTGGGCATGTGTGTGCACACATATATGATAGACGCTGTGCATCACTCCTTGCACATGTGTGCATTCTTATGTTCATATTTTAAAATATGAAACGTAAGCACAAGGTTGTTTCTACATCCAAATAGTTGACAGAGCAGATGTCCTGATATTCTAATATGCATTCAGCCCTAGAGCTAGACAAACTAAAATATAAAAATAGGAGAAAAGGAACAATAAATGTCCTTTAAGAAGGAATAGAAGGAAAGAACATGTCTCGTGGGCAGTGAGTTGTTTTTGACCAACATAGAATTTTCTAGAACATCTCCGCACCGTGCAGACTTTTGCAGGGAAGCAAGAGTGCAAGAGGCCCTTCTTAGCTGGTAAAGGCAGATGTGTTTCCTGTTTCAGATGAGTCGAGCTCCAGTGCAGGGAGGCCGGCCTCCTCCTCCGACGGGCAGCCGGGCCAGTCTGACACAGACAGCTCCGTGGATGAGAGCGACTTCGACACCATGCCGGATATTGAGAGTGATAAAAACATCGTCCGGACCAAGGTAGCTCTCTGCCTGGCCAGGCTTGCTGAAGGGGTGGAAAGTTTGGCAGAAGAATCAACTTCAGGGGTGCCTTTGTTTCTTTTATTTGTTTTCTCCCTTCAGGGGAAGTCAAATTTCCCAAAGGGTTTAGGTAAGACCTAACTCTAACTTTTTTTCCTGAAGAAAGTGGGAGTAAGAAAGAGAATGGGGCATTCAACTACTCTCCAGGTGTGAAGTGGCTGATGGTAGACAGGAAGGGATGCAGGGCACCAACCAGCTAGAAGAAGAGCTTCCTCTGAAGGGTGTACTGGAAAGCTCTCTGGCAGGAGTACAGCTCGTGTCTTCTGGGCACACACTTATTGTGTTTTGTTGTTTTGTGCCCAGTAGAAGATAAGAAGGATAATTGGACAATTTCAACCATAAGTAATTCAAGAACCACACAGTGGGCAGCTCTAAAAGCTGAGAAATCAGTTCTCAAGATAAAAGAAATACTCAAGACTCCCAGTAGGTTTCCTGTATTGGCCAATCCTGATTATTCCATGGAAAATACTAGGATTTTTGTTCAGATATCCTGGAGAAAATAAAAAGAAAGTATCGTTGAGTAATTTTAATCCCTAGGGGATTGAAATTTGTAAAGCTCTCCTTTATAATTTACATGAGAAAAGTCAAGTATAATTTTGCATTCTCTTTTTATTTGGTGTCCCAGATGTTCCTGTACCTGTCAGATCTGTCCAGGAAGGATCGGAGAATTGTCAGCAAAAAATATAAGATTTATTTTTGGTAAGTAGATAACCAGCAAAACTCTGGTTTCCTTAAGCAAACAAAGCCACGACTACTTATGTCACAAGATTTTAGTGGTGAATGAGGACAGGCACAGGAAAGGTGGCACAGCTATTGCCAAATAGACCTATGATGCTCAGACACGTGGATGCAGGCTCCCACTGGGCCAAGAGGCTGGGCTGCCTGGCCAGGACCTCTCCCTACCCTCCCAAGTCCCCAGGCTGACTTTTGTGCCCTTGTGACAGCTCCCCCCATTCTTTTCTTTCAAAGGATGTCCTCTTGGGCACAAATTTTAAAGGAAATCAGTAGATGATGGGGCCACATGTGATTTCACAGGGCCGTCATTTTAGAACTTAGCGATATCTAGATCCCCTTCATGTGATCCATCACCCATTACTTGCACACCAATCACTTTTTTATTTTAAGATGTATTTATTTATTTATTTGAAAGAGTTACACAGAGCGAGAAGGAGAAGCAGAGAGAGTGAGTGAGAGAGAGAGAGAGAGAGAGAGGTCTTCCATCCGATGGTTCACTCCCCAATTGGCTGCAATGCCCAGAGCTGTGCTGATCTGAAGCCAGGAGCCAGGAGCCTCTTCTGGGTCTCCCACGTGGGTGCAGAGGCCCAAGGACTTGGGCCATCCTCTACTGCCTTCCTAGGCCACAGCAGAGAGCTGGACCGGGAGTGGTGCAGCCAGGACACCAACTGATACCCATATGGCATGCTGGCACTGCAGTCAGCAACTTTACCCGCTACGCCAGAGTGCCAGACCCAACACACCAATCACTTTTAATCTAACAACATCTAGAAGAGTTAGACTTCATTAATAATTTGGCTAAACCCAAAGCAGTTTTTACACTATTTTTACAAGTGGTCATACAGAGAGAAAGGGGAAAAAAAAACTAGTATTTGTTGAGTGTTCATCATTAACTCAGGCTCTGTTGTCTGCCATTTAGGGGAAAGGCAGTTACTGACAGAGAGGGAAAGACAGAAAGAGAGGTCTTCCATCCACTGGTTCACTTCCCAGATGGCTGATCTGAAGCCAGAAGCCAGGAGCTTCTTTCAGGTCTCCCACATGGGTGCAGAGACCCAAGCACTTGGGCCATCTTCCACAGCTTTTGCAGGCCATTAGCAAGGAGCTAGATCAGAAGTGGAGCAGCCAGGGCTTGAACAGGCGCCTATATAGGATTCTGGTGCTGTAGGCAGAGGCTTAACCTACTACGCCACAGTATTGGCCCCATCATTAACCTTTAAATACAGCGTCTTGGTGTTACAGAAACCTGGGGAGGGAAGACTCCCTTCATTCAAACAGGCATGGGAGACAGTGGAGGGTCGAAGCAGTTTATTACACCAGCGGGCTCTGCTGGAATCATTTCCAGAGAACTGAGCATTAGTCCCGAATCTTTTAAAATATTATAGGTTTATCAGCATCATAGCTTAATAGTTACAGCATTGGTGGGTTTAAATTGCATTCTGTGTGACTCAAGACTAATTAGAGGGAACTAGCCTACTTGACTTAGGACCACATTTCCAATGGTCGGTGGGTCTGATAGGTTTATAGAAGAGATAGCTGGGAAGATTTATAGAACAGGTTTATGACTGGAGTTACAGAGAGCAGAACCTAGGGCATCTTCTCTCCCTAGACAAGGTAGGAGTGGGCAGCTGCTTCACTAGTTAATTGCGAGCAGCCATTTTTCAAGGTTGACATTGGCAGGGTGTGTGTGTGTGTGTGTGTCTGTCTGTCTGTCTGTCTGTCTGCTTTTCTTTCTTTGTCCCTGGCTGCAGCCATATTTCCTCTACATTGGTTAGGATTTTCTGTGTTCTCTACAACCAAACTGATAGTAGCCAAAGGAGCCTTTCCTCACTTCCCTATCTCCCCTAAGTCAAGATAGTGTGCAGCGAACGCGCAGATGCAAGACAGGGCAGAGGAAGACTGGAGAGACGGGGAATGCGTGCCATCAGCTGTAATTACCTGTCCGAGCTGATTGTGGAGTTACGGGCGTAGGCTTTCTCACAAGAGCAGAGGTTCCATTGCTGATTGGAAAGCGGTGATTTCCCATTCTTTCTGCCTGCACAGGAACATCATCACCATCGCTGTGTTTTATGCACTGCCTGTGATCCAGCTGGTCATCACCTACCAGACAGTAAGTGCTGCCCCCTGCCCAGAGTCCCAGCTTCTATCCGTCACACCGTCTTCATGGCGGCTTACGGAACAAGGCATAACTCGGTTCAACAACTGGTTTCCAATCTGAGTTCCATTTGGACGTCTCCATTGCTCCTCTATAACTAACCTTTCTGTTCAGTATGCGATTGTTTTATCAGAAAGGGAACTGAGGGCTCTTAGATAAAAGCATTACCTTGAGCTCATTCATCATGGTATCAACTGCATTTGTTATTTGCCAACTTGAGCTTTCTGATCATGGTGGGATGATGAATAGAGTCAATAAATCTCCAGACCAAAACTGAGAAACCTGATGTCCAATTTAGCCTGTGTCTTCTCATTGAGGATAAACAGCTTTATGCAACTTACAAAATATTACAATAAAAATGCAAAATAAATACAAAGGATTTTTAATAAACAAAAGTAATATTAAAACGGCTTGAAAATCTCCACTGCTGTCTCACAGAACCCTAAGGTTCCCGACCCTTACGTCCCCTTCTCTGGAATTTACACACGAGAAAACCCCTTTAGAATAACACAAGGCTGAAGGGATTTCTCATTCAATGGCTCTCAAACTTTGCTATGCAGTAAAATCAGCCTAGCAGTCAAGGTGCCTGTGTCCCATATTGGAGGACCTGGGTTTGATTCCCGTCCCTGACTCCTGATTCCAGCATCCTGCTGATGAGGACTCTGGGAGGCAGAAATGATGACTCATGTAATTGGGTCCCTGTAGCCATTGTGGACTTTTGGGGAATGAGCCAGCAGATGGAAACTAGCTTGCTCTCTCTCTGTTTCTCCCCTCTCCCTCTCCCCCCATCCAATAAATAATAATATTTTAAAAAATCTCACTTTCCAGGTTGTATCCTACACTGAGTAGATGGGAATCTGATAAGAGAACCAGACATCAGAATTGTTTAAACCCTCAGTGGTGCCAACACGCGGCCAAGCTTGAGAGCTAATGATCTGTCTAGTCCATTCCATTCATAATGAGGACAAGACTTCATGTGATTCGAGCACCACTGTTTCTAATCTAAGTAGCCTGCATCATTTGAGGCCCTGTAAGAAGATACAGCTCTGCAGCAGCCTGCAAAGGTTCTTGGCAGAGATGATGACAAATACAGAAACTGAACGAACGCATCTCTCTCCTGCCTACCTGCCCTGGGGTTACTCGGGGCAGCTTCGTATCCCAATGCATTGATCCAGAAAATAGGACATGGCCTGACAGTTCTAAAAGGCAGGGCCCAAGGCGGCCATCCTTTCTCAGTGCTTTTGTGCTGAGGACAACAGAAAAGCACTTAATTGAATTCCACCTTAAGGCCGCATAATGGGATACACAGAACATTTCACTCAAAGCAAGGAGGTGGCATTGAAAGGAGGCGTGCCCGAGCTGTGTGTAAAGATGGCGGATAATGAGCACTGGCTGTACTGTCCACGGCTGACCACGTGTCCCCGTGAGCCCTGGCTGCTCGTTGTGATCTCAGGCGGGGCTCAGAGGACAGAGAAAAACCATGTTGCCTCTTCTTGCTCTTGATTTTGCAGGTGGTAAATGTCACTGGCAACCAGGACATCTGTTACTACAACTTCCTTTGTGCCCACCCCTTGGGCGTCCTGAGGTAAACCTAGCTGCCCTGTGAGGCTTTTTGAGATTCCTTTCTAATGTTGGGACTTCAGGTTTTTTAATCACTGTGGAAGATAGCCTGTGTGGAGAGTAATAGGACCTCAGTCAGGAGGTTGATACCATGTATGTTTCTCTGGCTTGTGGATGAGAACCATGATTAGGAGTAATTGAGGTGTTTCTGCAAATGTCGCATCTGTCGCTGGGGTGTCATGTGTTCACAGGCATTTTTCCTCGTGCCGTTGTTACACAGCCCCGTGGCGGATGTCCTTGTTACTCCAGTTTTGGATAAAGACACTAAGGCATCATCAGATAAGGGCTTGCTTAAGTCCCCTCAGCCACTAGTGATGTCAGAACTCGAACCCAGACCTGCTGTCCCCTCCTTGGCAGCCACCAGAGCCTGGTGAAGTGGAAAGAGTATGTGCCTGGGAGCTGGGAGCCTGGCTTCTTGCTCCAGAGCGGAAGCAGCCTTTGGTTTCCTGAAAGAAAGCTGCTGACCGTGATTGGCTGACACCTATTCTGAACGTCACAATTGCAGGGCTGAATGGGAGCATATAACATCGTCCACCCGTGAGAATTCCCTCTCACAGCGTGGCTGAAATCCAAGGCTGTCTTTGGGGTGACCTTTTCCCAGACTGCTGCCTTGCCAGTGCTGTGGGGGAGAAGCGAAGATTGGGCAAATGCAGTCACCAGAGGAGTCACCAGAGCAGTCACCCCGAGAGGAAGCCGGCAGGTGGCCACAAGTGACATAAGCTTCTTAAAACAAAGGACTTAGCTTATAGAGGAGGTCTGCTTTTGCTATAGTTATCACTGTTCTTTGCATACAGCCAGGTTCTCCAAAAAGTTCATGGAAATTGGAATTAAAAGACAAATTGTTTGGTGCAAACTTTTTTTTTTTTTTTGACAGGTAGAGTTAGACAATGAGAGAGAGAGACAGAGAGAAAGGTCTTCCTTCCGTTGGTTCACCCCCCAAATGGCTGCCATGGCTGGTGCGCCGCATCGCGCCAATCTGAAGCCAGGAGCCAGGCGCTTTCTCCTGGTCTCCCGTGCGTGTGCAGGGCCCAAGCACTTGGGCCATCCTCCACTGCCTTCCCGGGCCACAGCAGAGAGCTGGACAGGAAGAGGAGCAACCGGGACAGAATCTGGTGCCCAGACCAGGACTAGAACCCGGTGTGCCGGTGCCACAGGCAGAGGATTAGCCTAGTGAGCCACGGTGCTGGCCAGTGCAAACATTTTTGAAATCCGTGCATATGCAGCATCTTGAGAAAGTTCACATAAAGGCATATCATGAAAAATGCATATATTTCAATTTTTTGTACCCAAATAAACTCATTTTTAAATTCCATTCTCTGAACTTTTTGAAGTAGCTTTGCATATATGTATACTATAACATCAAGTTGTATACCTAAAATATATAAAGCTTATGTTTTAAAAAAATGATTTCTGATGGGTTTCCAATCCCAAAATCATGTGGAAAGTTCTTGGGTGGGAAGTACTGAATACTGAATGTTCATTCATTTTCTGAATCCCTTTGACTGCCTTCACTCTTGTGCTTTCTCACTCCTTATAGTGCCTTCAACAACATCCTAAGTAACCTGGGCCACGTACTCCTGGGCTTCCTCTTCCTACTGATAGTCTTGCGCAGGGACATTCTCCATCGAAGAGCCCTGGAAGCCAAGGACATCTTTGCCATGGTGAGGAGAGAGTGAGTAAATCCGAGGAGCCAGGAAAATTACGGTTGCAAACAGCATTTGCAGAGCAGACGGACATCAGCGGGATGGTGCGATGCTGTGTTATGTGTAATGAGGAAGCGTGGGCTCCCAGGGTACCTCATCTGTCACTACTGACAGCTTTGACTCTATTTCTCCTTTTCCAGGAGTATGGGATTCCCAAACACTTTGGTCTCTTCTATGCTATGGGCATCGCATTGATGATGGAAGGAGTGCTCAGTGCCTGCTACCATGTCTGCCCTAATTACTCCAATTTCCAGTTCGGTAATTAGCATCTGTATCAACTCCACAGATCTGTGTTACAGGGGTCTTATCTGGGGGCCAGAAATGTCAAGGGCATACTTTGGTTGTGCCCTGCTTCTAAGTCGGTTCCCTATGAGCTGACTAGCTCAGGCCTAGACTGCTGCTGCACCCATATGCAAAGGAAGTGGGGTGACCTGTAGACCAATCGGACCCTCCCTTCCCCACCAATGCTGGGGTAGCTTTGCTGAAGCAAAGGGGCTGGGCGCCTGTGCGTTTCTGAGTTGCAAAGAGAGCAGATGGCGAGTAGATGCAGATACTGTTAGGAAGGAGGAAGGGAAGAGCTGGAGTGGAAGGCAGCGCACCAGGTCCTCCACACCTGAGGAGGAGTGTTTTAGATGGTTGTCTTTATATCTGTGTCCTGGCCTCTGCCTGTTAGAAGACCACAGACATCCCCAGTCATGTTTAATTTCCTTCCACTAGAAAAGATTTATTAACAGAAAACATTTACCACTTCGAATGAATAGATGTCACACATGTAAATATTTGCCTTAGATCTATTTCTTAAAAAAATAAAACATTATGCTAAAGCTGAGGTCATATTTTGGACCATTTTCCAAGTTAATCCATTCTTCCCCACCCCCCACTGCAATGACTGATTAATTTGGTATTTATTCTTCCATTTGGTTATTGTATGTTTACTACATTTGTAGTAAATGAATATTAATCTGTAACCTTCTTTCATTCACAGTATTTTTCAAAATTAATCAAAGATATGTAGCTTATTTTAAAGCTTACCATATTTTATAATAAAAGTATATGAAATTTATCATTTCCTCCACTGAACAGCATTTAGATGTTGCTTCCATTTTGCTGGTACACACAACACTGCAATAAATAGCCTTTTTTTTTTTTAATTTTTTTTTTTTGACAGGCAGAGTGGACAGTGAGAGAGAGAGACAGAGAGAAAGGTCTTCCTTTGCCGTTGGTTCACCCTCCAATGGCCACCGCGGCTGGCGCGCTGCGGCTGGCGCACCGCGCTGATCCGAAGCCAGGAGCCAGGTACTTATCCTGGTCTCCCATGGGGTGCTGGGCCCAAGGACTTGGCCATCCTCCACTGCACTCCCGGGCCACAGCAGAGAGCTGGCCTGGAAGAGGGGCAACGGGGACAGAATCCAGCACCCCGACCGGGACTAGAACCCGGTGTGCCAGAGCCGCAAGGCGGAGGATTAGCCTAGTGAGCCGCGGCGCCGGCCCAATAAATAGCCTTATATACCTCTCTGTGCTTATGTGGGAGAGGGTTTCTAGCTATTTTCCAACACTGGGATATACAGGTCAATATGTGTAGTATTCAATGTGGTTAGACGCCAAAGTCCTGAGAACAGCTTCCTACCCCGATCTGGGACTCATCTGACTGTCACTGCCTAAACTGTTACCCTTACGGAAGTTTTTGTTGTTGGTGTTGGACAGTAGCACCTAAAATGCAAAAGTGGGGAGAGTCAGTTTTTTTCCTAGGAGATACTTTTCTTCTGAGAGCTGGGAGCAGCCCTGGGAGGTGTACAAGTAGAGCATGCGGGGTCTTCTGAGACAGCCTGCCTTGGAGGAGGGGTCACCACACAGCCTGAGGGCAGTACACATGCCAGGGACTGAAGTGAGGGGCTACTGAGAGGTTGAAATCAAGAAGGGGTTGTCTGTTGCCTACTGAATCCTGTTGTCTCGGTCCCTCCCCTGGGTCCTCAGACACCTCCTTCATGTACATGATCGCGGGCCTCTGCATGCTGAAGCTTTACCAGACCCGCCACCCAGACATCAACGCCAGTGCCTACTCTGCCTACGCCTCCTTCGCTGTGGTCATCATGCTCACCGTCCTCGGAGTGGTGCGTCCCTCTCCACCTGCCTTCCATCTGGCTCCCAAAAAGTGCCCCCATGGGAGGCACTTTGCTATTGTTTGTTTCCTTGCTTGTTCGTTAGACCTCAGGTGGACGAGTTGGTTTTAACTGTACTCCTTGGGTCACGACCCACTCTGATCATGGGTCCATTTGTAGCGCACTCTTAGTCAATTGTTTGTAATCACACCGTCACTGATTGTACTTGGCTAATTGTTTCTGATCATGTAAGAGGCGCCTGTAAAACTGCTCCGGCATAACTTTAATGCACAGCTGGGGCCTGACTCATGTGAAACTGGAACAGGGATGTGCAGTACGTGGCCAACAAGTGTTGGATATCGTCACCTGTTGGAAGAGCATTAGTCCAGCTGGACCCTGCTGCCCATTTAGTGTTATTCTGCTGCTGCCTCCCCCCTTCCTCCCTTCTCCACTTTCTTTGGCCGCTGTGCAGTAAGATCCCTGTGGGTTCCAAGAAGGGAAGAAGAGCAAAGCACACATGCAGCTTAGTTTTTGATTCCTGCCACATGCCTGAGAGACTGGTTGATTACTGTGAGTTCTCTGGGAATAGCCCCAGATGAAGGTAACACCCATCTCTATCCTAGGTGTTTGGGAAGAATGATGTGTGGTTCTGGGTTATTTTCTCTGCCATCCATGTTCTCGCCTCTCTGGCCCTCAGCACACAGATTTACTACATGGGTCGTTTCAAGATAGGTGAGTCACTTGTTTTCTACTAAACACATGGATTAACTTCCCCTGGGAAAGCGGGCGTTGTCTTCGCTCATCCTGAATGGAAGTGTTACTGGTCACCATGAGCACCTGCTCTGGATCTGAGCTGTGTTTAATTCCATGTACTCATCTCCTATCCTTTATAGGATTGCAATGAGCCATTATCAATAGTTCTAATTTCTGCTGAGAAAGTAAGTTTTCTGTCTTCAGAGCTGTGGTGTGCCTGCAGCTCCCAGTTGCAAACATTCTCCAACCCACCAGACTTGGAAGGTGCATGAGGGAAATGGCGTGATCGCCCCCCCACTGCTTCCAGCTGGAGGCGTGTGCTTCATTTGCTAGCACTCCGAAGGAGCACTTCTGTAACCACACTAAATAGTCATCGACAATGAATTGTAGATTATTTCCAGATTTTAGGGCTCGAACTTTCTGAGAGGCATTTACCAATCTAGAGGCTGGGCTCCTGCTGAACTCCCTCAGGCAATGTGAACCCACCAGGGAGAACTGAGCGTCTCATAGAGATCAACCTGGGATGTGCTGCTGGTCAGTCAGAAGGGAGCAGCTTCAGGTTGCTTTAGAGCATTTAATTTCAAAAGTCACTTTAAGGGCTGGCGCCGCGGCTCACTAGGCTAATCATCCGCCTTGCGGCACCGGCACACCAGATTCTAGTCCCGGTCGGGGTGCCAGATTCTGTCCCGGTTGCCCCTCTTCCAGGCCAGCTCTCCGCTGTGGCCAGGGAGTGCAGTGGAGGATGGCCCAGGTCCTTGGGCCCTGCACCCCATGGGAGACCAGGAGAAGTACCTGGCTCCTGCCAGCAGATCAGTGCGGTGCGCTGGCCGCAGTGCGCCAGCCAAGGTGGCCATTGGAGGGTGAACCAACGGCAAAGGAACACCTTTCTCTCTGTGTCTCTTTCTCACTGTCCACTCTGCCTGTCAAAAAAAAAAAGTCATTTTAAGGTCCAGGAAGTCAGGCCTAAATCTCCTTTTGTATATTTCAAGATAAATCATTATATATGAACATAGGCCTAGACTAATATTTGCAAAGCTCACGGCAAGAGTACAAATAAAAACCTGCACACCGTATTGTGGACATTTCAAAGTTATAAAACAAACTGAAAAGCCATGGAAAGAGAAGGGGAGAGAGAGAGAGACAGAGAAGAAAGAGAGAGAGAGAAATTGGTAAATATACCTAGAAGATCCAAGTTGAAATTTAAAATTCTTGGTCCCTCAAAAGAACAGTGCAGAGCATAGTGTGTAGGAAAGCAAGTCTGTACCCCTGCCATTATTTTCTTTCCGCCTCTGGTTCTGCCCTGTGTTTTAAGAGGTCTCACAAGTGTGTATAGGAACAACCTGGCCCAACACCCAATGTCCATCCATATCTTCTAAATGAGCTACCCCTTGGCCATTCCCTGTCCCCTACTAGGACCTGGTGGTACCATCTGCTCTCATAAAGAAGGGGAGAAGGCTAGGTAGGCCCTGGGAAGAAGCTCAAGAATACCTAAGAAGGGAATTTAGGGGGCCAAGGAATTCCAAACACAGTCTACAAGATTGATTGATTCCCTTGCCCTATTGACCACTCACTCATAGAACGAGGGCTCTCTAAAACATGGGTCCCTGTTTGCCTGGGTCTAAGAGCAATTCTACATTAACAATGACAACTAGAAGACCAAATAAAACAGTTTCTCATCTTCGCAGTTTGGTTTTCTCTTTGGGCATGGCCAAACCCTTGGCACGAACATAACCGTCCTCAGATCCCCCAATTATAGCAACCACTTGTGTAGAACATTGGAGATGGTGTTTTGTCATTTCCTATCCTGCACACCGAAGGTGAGTGAAGTCCCAAGGAAAATAATTTGGAGCATTGCTATCCCAGTTTCTCTCAGAGTTGGTAAAATAAACTTGAATACAGATATAGGTAATGGTAATGACCACCACTACTCTGGTCATGTCATACTAATGGTGTTAATGGTACAAATTGTAATATAATAAAAAATTAGTTTCCCTAATTTCACACGTTGCATTGTGACCACGTGATGATTTGACACAGTTGAAGACTGAGGGGGGCTCATCAAAGATCACGAGATGCAGGTAGGCTAGAGGACGAGGGGAGGGCTAGTGCAGGCTGGGGTCAGTAGCAGTGATGCCTTTCCTGTCTGTAAGCTCAAAAGGACAGGGAGGAAGTGGTTGCCACACTGTGTCATGGGGACAAAGTCGCTCTGAAAGGAGCAGTGACCCTTGCTTGACAGACAGGACCTAATAAGGAACCTCACAGGGAGGGCAGCAGGAACATGACTCCTCTGAGCCCACTCTTCTCCCCCTGTCCCTGCAGTCCCCTCCAGGGCTCCCCACTGTCCGGATCCAAAGAGGGTTAGGGAATCCTCTGATGTCGTCCAGATGTGTCCACCTCCCTGGCCGGGTGCAGGAGAGAGCCAAGGCGGGCAGGTGGAAGAGAGCCAGCATGGAGTTGAAATGAATGCTTTCCAAGTTCTGGACCCAGAGTCTCCCCAGCGTGGTTACAGATTTGCCAAAGTCCATTGGAAAAACGTGCTGTTTTGTTGTGACAATGAGCATGTCTACACTGAGTCCAAAGGCAAGAAGTTGGATTAATGAACAATGGCTCAGCCAATTCAAATCTTTCCACTCACTTCATAAACTGCCTTTGCTTTCTTATTACATGTTCCTTTCTCTTGGCCTTAGGCCACACAAGAAAATAAATGTGGACACAGGAAAGGCAACAGAAAATCCTAGAGCTGCTTGCCCCATGATCACTGTGTCTCTTGCTCCCAGAGCCCTGGAAAAGGACCTCAGCGATTGCTCTTGAGGGAAGATGGATTAAAAATCGTAAATGGGGAAGAGAAGAAGACAGGAAGAGAGAAGAGGCTCAGTGCACTCTTTGAGGAATAGGAAACTTCTGAATGTTTGACGCAGGCAGAAAATTTCTGTGTTTTTTAGATAATCAAATATTACTTCTGTGATTAGAAAATAAGCAAAGTCATTGTTTTGAGAAAACAGCCATGTTTTACTGTTTGGCTTCCTTCTTGCAAATCATTTTTTTTTCTCATTTCTTCTCTGCTTCCCATTGATTCAGATGTGTCTGACACAGGTAATGTTGAGCCCCGTTTGCCCGGGGTCTGCCTTGTTTCCTTCCCCTGACCTGTCCGCTCTGCTCCCTGAATACTTGCTTCCAGGTCGGGTGGGCACCAAGGGAGGTCGGGGGTGGGGGCGGGAGCCTGTGACAGTCCAGGGGCCCAGCTGCACCCTGGCCAGCCTGCTTCAGGCCTCTCCTGTGTTGTCACATGACCCTCCTGGCTGGGTAAACTGACTGCAGGAGTGGCTGTGTGGAGGAGTGGCATTCCCACTAGAGCAGGGATCCACACTCTGAACTGCCTGCTCTGGGCAGACGTGGACTTGCCTTTGATGTCCCTGGTGTGGACAATTCACAGGAGGACAGCTGATCTTTGACCTTGACTCTATTCAGAGAACACTTCCCCCAGGGCACACCCCTAGCATTCTGTACCATCCTTTCCAAGGATTGCCTTAATAGGATGTTTCCTGTCTTTTTCTCCTCCTCTTCACTTATATTGCTTTGATGATGGTTTCAGTACAGACAGAGGAGCCCAGGAGCCCTTGGTTCAACTGTTACTAACATAACCACATGGAGACATAGAAATCAGAACCCTTGCAAGCTAAGACTGTCCACTCTCTAGGGAGAGCAGATGTGTCCAGGTGGATTTGAGGAAGTCCATCCCATCTCTGTTACAAAGAAAATGCCCCCAGAGCAAACGGAGCGGGAAGCTTAGCTGAGACAGTAGAGGCCCAGCCGCCCACCCCTGTTGTTCTCAAGTGCTTGCCGTTCACATCCATCTTGCCTACTTTCCTGCTGTGTGATACACAGAGGGGGCACGCCCCCATGACAGCACCACTTTTCTTAAAGCAAACATCTGCTCATCTGTTAGATGCAAAGCGTTCTAATGTGTTTTAACAAACTGAAGATAAAAGCACTCTGCCCCCCCACCCCCGTAAGCTTGGGCCATGTCCGACTATTTATTTTATCTCCAACTAAGCCTTCTCACCACGTGATTGTGTCTTCAGCAGACCTGGGAATTTTCCGACGGGCCGCCATGGTGTTCTACACAGACTGTATGCAGCAGTGTAGCCGGCCTCTGTACATGGTAAGTGTGTCACATGCGTGCCCCTATGTTCCTTGGCATTCCTTCAGAAAGCAGGGGAACAGCAGGAGGGGCAGGCGCAGGGCAGTCACTCAAGGCTCCCAAAATCCAGACGACCAGATGGTCCGGAGTGGCTGAAGTCCAGTTTGGGGGGAGGGGTAGAAGGAAGGGGGGTGGCGGGAGAAGCACATTGTTTCCTCCTTTTCCTAAAAGATAACTAGAATGCCCTCACTTTCATAAGTGAAATATTGGCTAATCTATAAAAAGCAAATATATATAGCACACTGTGGGGGAGAAGCAAGACACGGTGTCCTTCCAAACAGGTGCCAGCATGGCAGTCAAAGGACACATTGTGAATGATTACACAGCACAGTGGGCATCAAACAGGCTGCCCCAAGCACGCTGCAACATGTGGTCACTCCCATTGCTTTCATTAGGGACTTGTACTTTCCATATTATGCCTTTCTGTGTGGCTTGATTTTTACAACAAGCAAGAGTATTTTTTTAAACTATCATGCTTTTTTTTTGGAAGATTATTTATTTGAAAGTCAGAGTTGCACAGAGAGAGAAGGAGTGACAGAGAGAGAAAGAGAGGTCTTCCATCCATTGGTCCATTCCCCAGTTGGCCACAATGGCCAGAGCTGCACCGATCTGAAGCCAGGAGCCAGGTGCTTCTTCCGGGTCTCCCATGCAGGTGTAGGGGCCCAAGGACTTGGGCTATCCTCCACTGCTTTACCAGGCCACAGCAGAGAGCTGGATCAGAAGTGGAGCAGCCGGGTCTCGAACCAGTGCCCATGTAGGATGCCCGCACTGCAGGTGGCAGCTTTACCCACTATGCCACAGCACCAGCCCCTAAATTATCATTCTTTCTTGATGGTTGAAATACTTTCCAAAGTTATGCCATATATTTTGATTATATTGGACATTTCTTTGGTGAACTGAGAGATCGGGGCCCTGACTTTAACCCTGTCCTGGCTCATTAGCCAGTGACTTCAGGACGCCCACTTCCTGCCTCCAGGCCCATGAACCCAGCTGCCAAATGGTGCTGCTGCAGTCAGAACTAGTGATGCTTTTGGCACTGGCACATAGGAATTCAGGAGGTACCTGCTCATTGTGTTTCATCAGAGGGATTTTACATAAAGGAACATGGGCATCTTTTAGCCGTGGGGAGCTTGGCTAGGAGCTATAGGCATTAAAATATTGAAGGGATTGAGGCCAGAGGATCTTATTCAGGTGAGAGTTTAAAAGCTGTTAAAAGCTGTGAGTATTTGGAGAGGCAAACCTGTGAGCCAGGAGGGGGCAATTACTATTTTTGTTTGTTGCTTTACATTAATTGGTGCAGGTTTTCTTTAAAAAAAAAAACATGTTTAAGAGCAGTTTTAGGATCACAACAAAATTGAGCAGAAGACACAGAGTTTGGCCATATAAACCCTGCCCAGGCACGAGTGCACAGGGTCTCCCCTGTCAGCATCCTGTCTCAGAGTGGCACATTCCATCAGTGAACCCGCACTGGCGCCTCAGCCTCACCCACTCCACAGCTCACAGTAGGGTTCACTTCTGCTGTTGTGTGTTCTCTGTGTAATGACTAGTACCCACCACCCTCGTGTCATGCAGAGTAGCTTCACCGCCCTATAACACCCTGTTCTCTGCCTGCTCATCTCTCCCCTTCCCAGCCCTGGGCAACCACTAATCTTTTTTATCTGCATAGTTTTGCCTTTTGCAAAATGTCATGTCATTGGAATCATATACTATATAGCCTTTCCAGGTTCACTTCTTTCCCTGAGTAATTTGCATGTAAGTTTCCTCCATGTCTTTTCATGACCTGGTATCTTGCTAGCCTTGAGTAATACTCCATCACCTGGATATATCACGGGTTGTTATCCATTCACCTCTGAAGGACCTCTTGGTGGCTTCCAAGTTTGGACAGTAATGAATAAGGCTTCTGTCAGCATCCACAGTCAGCTTTTTTGTGTGGACGCAAGTTCTCGACTCATCTGGGTGCATATTAAGAAGACCGTGCTGGGTTGTGCTGGCGAGTGTGTTCAGTTTTGTAAGAAACTGCCAAACTGTCTTCCACATGGATGAACCATTTTACAGTCCCACCCACAGTGAATGAGAGTGCCTGTTGCTCTACATCCTACCAATATTTAGTATTGTCAGTGTGTTGGATTTTAGCCATTCAAATAGGTGAGTTAATGAGTTGCTTTTAAAAGATATTTTCTCCAAAATGGATGGATCACCTGGACAGGCAGAAAATTGTTTTAAATAGTAGATGGGTGACCATCTACATATAAGTGATTTACTTTAAATCACACCTAAATGATTTACATATTATACCAAGGAGCGGGAACACAAGTGAATTAATCTCATCAGAATAGCTGTCCTTCCCTCTTTCTTTCCCTCCCTACCCTGTAACCTTAGCGTTAAGACCATGGTTATAGAGACCAGGAGCCTGGGAGTGGCAGAACCTCCTTGAGCCAGAGTAATGGGTACAAAACTCACCTCTCAGTTGGTCCTGAGAGTTGCAACAGCGGCTGAGACGTCACAGAACGCAGAGCACCAGTGCTCACTCACACCACAAGCGGCAGCATGCTCACTACGAAGCCGTCAACACACACCACTCGCCTCCCCAGAGAATGGGGCTGGTGCCCAGCTCCACTGAACACTGGGGGCAAACAGCCAGGGTCCTGCTTTGCTGACCACCTTTCTTTTTCAGGAACAAGGTCAAGGCCGTTTGCAGTCAGAGGCTTTGCCATTTAGTCTCGTACAGAACTGGTGTCAGACCCAGGCCAGGCTGTCTTAGAACCATAGGACGTGTTTGTTTTTTACCAAGACAATCATTTTCCCATAGTTGATGCTTCTGCTACAGGAAGCAAAAAGAAAAGTAGTGTGTGCCGCCTCTCATTCGAAGTTTTTTTTCCCCTATTTTACAGGATCGAATGGTGTTGCTCGTCGTGGGGAACCTGGTTAACTGGTCCTTGTGAGTAGTCTCAGGAAAGCGTGTTTTGTCTACTAACGTCTGTGACACTGTGGATTAGCTTTCCTTGGCTGTCGTTTTTACAATGAAATCTGAAATTAACGAGAAGATAAGGCTTACCTAGAGACGTGAGGGGGGAAAATGTATTTTTTTTTCTCTTGCAAAAGAAAAAAAAAAACACTAGGAAGCTCTTCTGTGCCAATTTATTAATACTTTAATGCACTGATCAAGTTCATTTGCTTGACAAGGCAAACCCCTTTGCGGATAATTCAGATAGACAAAAGTCAGACAAAAAGTATGCCAACAGGTACACCATAATTTTAAACTATTCGGTAGAACTATCCATAAAGGCTATCCATAGTGGGCATTCTTTTCTGTTGAACTCTCTCTTGCTTACTCAACTTGTGTAACGCATGCACATGTGTGGGCACGTCTCTTTCCTGTTCATGTGTCTCTCTAGGTTTCTTCTTCCTACTCCACCTGTATCATTCTCTTTCTTCTTTGTGGCCCTCATCAACTCGGTGGCTTTTTTCACTCCAATGTCTTCCAAATAGAAAAGTACAAGAGTGGTATATTTTTGCTGGCTGAAATTATTTTATGCAACCGATAGTCAATTTTAAAAATTGAGTGAGCAGGATGTAATATTGATCAAAAAATAAGTTTAGCTGCTTTTGTTTGTGGCTGTTAGCTGATGTGTTCTGATCAGTGAGCTTTAACAGAAGAACGACTCTCTGCTCCTGGTGCCCATTAAGACATAGGAAGAAATGAAGAAAGGCCATGCTTTCATGGGAGGCCAGAATCCAGCCATGAGAATCTGAATCTTACGTGGGGAAGGAGGTAAAGAGGGGAACAGAGGCAGGAGCACTTACATCTGGAAGAGACTTTCCATAATGTTGTCATGGCAGGGAATACCTTGGGACAAGGTCTGTGCCTGATTACTCCCCTGGCTTGGGGAAAAGTCAAAGTAATGGCAGTGGTCATCAGTGCTGTTTATTAGCACTCTTTCAGGAACACAGCCCATAATCCTGAAGGCTAGATAAGCCAGGGCACTAGAGAGACAAAAGCGATCCTCCTCTTGACATCCAACAAGGCTTGACTGTTGCTGATTTGATATTGGGCTCCCTGGGGGGCGGGTGGCATTGTGGTGCAGCAGGTAAAGCCAATGCCTGCTATGCCAGCATCCCAAATGAGTGCTGGTTCATGTCCTGGATGCTCCATTTCTTATCCAGATCCCCACTAATGCACCTGGGAAAAACAGCAGACGATGGCCCCAAGTATTTGGGCCCCTGCCACCCATGTGGGAGATTGGGGCAATGTTGCCATTTGGGGAGTGAATCAGAAGATAGATTTCTCTCTCTGTCTCTGTCTCTGTCTCTCTGTCTCTCGTTCTGTAACTCTGACTTTCAAATAAATTATTATAAAGTTTGATGAAAGTGAAATAGGCTCCCCGACAAGGTTGGGAAGCACCTCCCAGTTTCATTCTTTTTTTTTAAAACTTTTATTTAATGAATATATATTTCCAAAATACAGCTTATGGATTACAATGGCTTCCCCCCCATAACGTCCCTCCCACCCGCAACCCTCCCCTTTCTCATTCTTCTAAGGCTCATCAACTTTGTCCTCATCTTCATTAGTCAAGAATTTAACCTTTGAAAATGCAGATTGGGATGGATTCTCCTTGAATGATTTCAGAGCTTATTGGTCATGAAGAATAACAAGACTTGTGTGGCTTGTTTCTGCCTCTTACATAATCAGAATGAGATGACACCCCCCCCCCCCCCCACCATCTGCTCACTAGACAAAGCGACAGCCTCTGTCTTCTGAGACAGCTCTGTGGGCACCAGGCCTGCAGGATGGCTGAGGTGCAGTTAATCCTGCACTCAGTACAGCATGGCCTCCCTCTCAGGTACTCTGTAAAGATGTGGAGTGACTTAACATGGGTGTTATTTTACATAAAGCAATCACTTATATGGTCCTATGTGTGTATCCATAGAGATGTGTATATGTGTGTGTGTGTAAACATGCACATTTTTATAGAGAGGGAATGATGAAGTGTGGCAAATGCTAATAACTGGTGAATCAGAGGGAATGGTATATGAGAGTTTTTTGAGATACAGAATATTTCAAGTCTCTGGGAGGAGGAAATTTCCTACAATATATATAACAAGTTAGCTGGAAAACAAAATGCATGAAAAGAGAGTCCATTAGTAATGACTTTATATTTGAAATGCTTAGAAGTAAATTTTGAGAGGTGTGGAAACTTTTGGAAGAAAATCTAGTTATTTTAAAAAGAGACATAAAGGAGAACTTGACTATATGAAGAGAGATGTTAAGGCCTGGGTGAAAAGATTGACTAATGTAAAGCTATCTGTTCTCAAGTCAATGTACAAATTTAGAATAGAATTAATAGTATTTTATTCTAAAATTTATTTGCCTAGTTAGGTAAAACTTTAAAAAATCTCTGAAAAAGGAGATTAACAGAAGGAAGCAGAAGCAGAGGGGTATAGTGAGTAGCTTAGCACTACCCATAGAATGTTCTGGAATGATGTGGACATAAAACTTGACTACAGTGACTGAGAAACTGAATTTTTCATTTTATTTAATTTCAATTAATTTAACGAGTTAAATTTATGTAAATTAATTAAAGTAGCTAGCATATTGAATAGTGCAGGCTAGCCTAACCAGATGATATAACTTATCATTAGACAATAATGAAATAATGATCCAAAATTAGAAACATAAGTCAGTAAATCAAAATATAGACAGACATATAGCCTAGTGGTAAAGGCAACTGCATTCAACATCAGAGTACCTGGGTTTGTTAGCTACCTCTTGACTTCAGATTCCTGCTAAGAAAGACCCTGAAAGGCAGCAGTAATGGCTTAAGTAATTGGGTTCTTGTCATCCATATGGAGCACCTGGATTGTTTTCCAATCTCTCAGCTTTGGCTCATTGAGGATGTTTGGAGAGTGAGCCAGCCAATGGAAGCTCAATCATTCTCTCTCTGTGTTTCTTAAGTATAATAATACATTTTTAATGGATGGGCTAGAAACCAACTAGATATAGATACAGATGTAGATGATGTAGATTTTAAAAATATATGTGCAGATGTGTGTTTTTTTTAAAACCAAGCTTTTCAAAACAAGGAGAAAAGAAGCATTATCTAATTAACACTTGTTATAACAAAATAGAAATTCGGGACAAAATTCAGGCTAAACACTAAGCAAGATGAACTTCAGTGTTAGACTCATAGATAGTGGGGGCCGACGCCATGGCTCACTTGGTTAATCCTCTGCCTGCAGCATCGGCATCCCATGTGGGCGCCGGGTTCTAGTCCCGGTTACTCCTTACCAATGGAAGGAAGACCTTTCTCTCTGTCTCTCTCTCACTGTCTATAATTCTACCTGTCAAATTAAAAAAAAAAAAAGACTCATAGATAGCAAAAATTTGGTAATGTGTTTCAAGCCAAGAGTTTTGGTTAGTTTTTTCCATTACTATAATGAAATATGCAAGACAGCTAACTTAGAACACACTCATTTAACTCAGAGTTGTGGAAGTTCAGAGTCCCAGAGGCATGACTTTGGCTCTGGTGAGGGCCCCCAGGGCAGCAGCATAGTGTCTGCAACAGCAGAATCGCTTAGCAAGCCAAGGAGCTGAGTGAGCCCAAACTCAGGAAAATAGGACAACCCTCTCGTGATAACTCAGGAAGTTCCACAAGAACTATCTCCACAGGCACACACCTAGCGACCTGAGAACACCCTCCAGCTAGGGCCCGCCTTCTAAAGCTTCCACCAACTCCTAACAGCGTCTCCCTGGGGACCAACGCTTAACCCAGGAGACTTTGGATGACTTTTAACATTCAAACCATAATACTGAGTACTGAGATAATTCCACCTCTAGTAATGTATTCCAAGGCGCTAATCCTTAAAAATCTTCTTCTATTTTTAAATTGATATATTTTACATTTTAAATAATATATTTCAAATTTTTATATTTTAATAGATTTTTAAAATGATATAGATAATATAGCGGTTGTATATATTTGCAGGGTTCAGAAGAGTTCTTCTTAAATGCAACCTATGTCTGAAGACAGGTGTTTATTCACTGCAATGTTCCTTGAAACAATGAACCCCTGAAGGACTCAGGAGCAATTCTGAGCTAGAGAGGAATGATGATTACTCACAATCCACCCCCTTATGAGAACTTTCCTAGTCACTAGGAATGAGTATTCTGAAGAGGAGGCAATACATTGAAAGTTACTTGTATATATAAATGATTTGCTTGTAACGTCCCCAATCGGAGTTCAAGAGGTAAAGAAAGCCAATAATGAAAGGTGCAAATGCAGCTTTGGGCCTGCAACCTTCCCGCCTTCTCTTGTCCTCAGCGCCCTCTTTGGACTGATCTACAGACCCAGGGACTTTGCATCCTACATGCTAGGCATCTTCATCTGCAACCTGCTGCTCTACCTGGCCTTCTACATCATCATGAAGGTGAGTGTGCGTGGACGTGGGGGCCTGCAGAGCTCCGGCCCTGGCTCTGGCACTGGGTCCAGCTTGGCCGCCTGCGTCTGCCCTCACAGCTTCGCAGCTCGGAGAAGGTTCTCCCGTTGCCGCTCTTCTGCATCGTGGCCACTGCTGTGGTGTGGGCAGCCGCCCTGTACTTTTTCTTCCAGAGTCTCAGCAGCTGGGAGGTAAGAGAACAGTTTTCTAGGAAGTTCTTTCTCGTTTTGCCTTTTTGACCTTTCTGCCGCCCTCTCCGTGTGTTTGTTGCTTCTGGTCTTTTTTACTTCCTCTGACATGAACAGCCACATAGAACTGCCACGTGGACTTCATTATCAGGGAGGCCCTTCATAAATGTGTGAGCCCAGAGACATGGCACACGCGCTCCCTGTTGTGTGTCGTAGTTTGATCCTGTGCCCAGTGGGTAATTGACATGTGCAAGACCTAGAAGACTGTATCTTCTCTGCTTCCGCAGCACAGTCACCATCCACCAACAAAGGCCCAGGCACAGGTGTCGTAAATCCATTTCACAGACCAGAAAGCTGAGGCTGGGAAATTAGTGAAGTCCCAGCTTTCCAGCACGCCACTCACTACCATCAATTAGAGAACAACCCTGTATCCATTAACAGCTACTCTCATTTCTCCCTAACTCCTTAGTACTGACAAACTAGACTAACCTATCCTGGTCTCCATAGATTGGCCTGTTTTGTACGTTTCACGACATGTGGCCTTTGGGTCTGCTGTCTTCCCCTTAGCCTGGTTCCTGGGTTCATGTGTGTGGTGGCATGCATCGGTACTCCTGTCTTCAACTGGCTGAGTACCATCCCGTTGTGTGGCTGTCTACACTGCATGTATCGGTTCATCAGTTGACAGACAGTTGGGTTGTTCCTGCCTTTTGAGTGCTGTGACAGATGCTGCCCCGGGCACTTGCCTACAAGTCTGGGTGTGCGTGTACTTTCGTGGGTGCTCTCAGAGCCAGCCAGCCAGCCAGCCAGCCAGCCAGCAGCAGTTCTGTGGCTCTCTGAATGCTCAGTCCTCCACACCACTGCATGGTGGCCTCTTGCCCACCTCCTGCCTCCCCTTCCTGCAGGGGACCCCCGCCGAATCCCGAGAGAAGAACCGCGAGTGCATCCTGCTGGATTTCTTTGATGACCATGACATCTGGCACTTCCTCTCTGCCACGGCTCTGTTTTTCTCATTCCTGGTGAGTTCATCGTATTTCTTCTTCTTCCTTCCCTCTCTCTACAGCCTCTACCCTCATTTCTTCTCTTCCACTCTTCCTAACATTCTTTTAAAGTCCTCCCTGATTTCCAATCCCTCACTGTAATTCAGTGTATGGACCATCCTATCTCTTTCCTTATACTGTATCGGTATCCTTTGGCTAGATATTTAATTTCTTTTTTTTTTTTTTTTTTTTTTTTTGACAGGCAGAGTTGGATAGTGAGAGAGAGACAGAGACAGAGAGAAAGGTCTTCCTTTTGCCGTTGGTTCACCCCCTAAATGGCCGCCACGGCCGGCGCGCTGCGGCTGGCGCACTGCGCTAATCCGAAGCCAGGAGCCAGGTTCTTCCTCCTGGTCTCTCATGTGGGTGCAGGGCCCAAGCACTTGGGCCATCCTCCACTGCACTCCCAGGCCACAGCAGAGAGCTGGCCTGGAAGAGGGGCAACTGGGACAGAATCCAGTGCCCCAACCAGGACTAGAACCCGGGGTGCCGGCGCTGCAGGCGGAGGATTAGCCAAGTGAGCTGTGGCACCAGCCATAGATCTTTAATTTCATTTTCCCTCTGCTCTCCAATATTTTCAGACACAGAGTGATGAATTGCTTTCCCTAAGTTGCCCAGCGTACCGAGATAGAATTGGTTTTCAGATCCATGTGCCTGGAGTTCCCGAAAGAGCCGCCTTTGACCTTCACTCGATCCCCATTCTACTGGGCCATTCCTTCTTGTGCTCTGCTCACTCACATGTCCGCCCTTCTTCCAGTCCAGCTGAACATTCTACAGTCCTGGGGTGGCTCAGATAGCCTCCAGCCTCTGTCCTTCTCTCCAGCCTGTTCCCAGGGTCTCCTGTAATCCCTCTCTTTGTCCAAACCCTTTCCTAGAAGGCATGCATGCTTATGTTAATCCTGAGTGGCAGCTTCCAGCATGTTAATCCTAACTGACTTTTCCAAAGTAGAAGTCCGGGTGCTAGCATGCAGGTTCAGTTGACAACGAACAGTGTAGGTCGCTTTGACCATTCTCTGGCAGCCATGTTAACATCAAGAATGGGCCAAGGCTTCCCCCTAGTGGCCAGTTTGGGAAGTTTAGGAAAGTTAAAGCACGCTGTATACCTATTCCTTACAGGTTTTATTTTTGAGAGACAAAAGTAGAGCTAAGCAAGTTGTACCCAGCATCACTACACACACCAAATAGGTGTTTGCACTCCTCCGCACAGGCCACGTGTACTTGGTCTGTGAGTTTCCATCAGGGCATAATGTGAGTCCTAACACTTGTTCTTCTGCCACAGTGTCCCGAAGGTAAAACATTTGAGGAACTCATACCATGCTGGTTAGCAACTCTTGAAGACGGGCTCCCCCTTCCAAGAGTGTTGTAATGCACAGACGTTACAGCAGATTCTCCTGGGTATTTCTGCATGTCATGCCTGTTACATGTGCCCTGTGTAGATCTCTCCTGTTCTTCCCCATAAAACCTCTAATAAAGGATGACATCCTTTAAAATATACAAATAAAGAGAGAGAGAGAGAGAGAGAGAGAGAGAGAGAGGCCAAGGGGTCCATGAGGAGAGAATGGAAATAAGAGCTAGGAATGGAGGAGAAGGGTCATTTCTGTATGGAAATAGACTGTGCCACAAAACCTCATGTCCTCAGTGTTACCTTCTAATAATGACTGTCCGAGCCATCTTGCCAAAATGGTTGCCTCTCCCACCCCATATTTCCTATGTTTTCTCCCTAGTTTAATTTCAGTCCTTGGCATATACTACCATCTAATATACTGTAGTTTATTCATGGGCTTTTTTCGTGTCTAAAACCCTCTCTTTTATGCAGGCTCTATGAAGGGGGAGATTTTTGTCTCTTGTTCCAAGCTGTATCTCCTTCATCTGGAATAGTACATTAAAACCCTTCCTAAGTGTGTAATTGCTAAATGACCTATATTTCTATAAGTGGTTAACAGCAAGGTATTGAAGAAGGCTGTAGAAGATAGGAGACTGAGTAAGGGATCATACAGTTTTTCAGTCTGTGGGGGTCAGCAAGCAGGGACTTGGCGGGGCTGCGACTGGGAAGTCGTGCGTTTCTGTCTCTCTTGTTTCAGGTTCTGTTAACCCTGGATGATGACCTGGATGTGGTGCGAAGGGACAAGATCCCTGTCTTCTGAGCCTCCTGCATGGAGAGGGAGAGAGGAGCAGTCCACCCTGGTGCTGTTTCATGCAAACGACAGTGACTGCAGCAAAGCCACCACTGCCAGCGCTCCACTCAGCCTCCGGAGAGGCAACTCTGCCTGTGTTCCCCCGGGAGGGAGGTGGCTGGGGGCACGAAACCTCAGGAAGGCGGGCAGAAGGGAAGCCACAGCTGGGAACAGAGGCACCGAGAAACACCTGTCCCCTTCTGTCTGCTACTCCGTGAGTCAGACATGGTCAGAACTGGATCTGAGAGGCCTTCGCGCCCTCCCCTGAGACTCGCTGGCAATGGCAGACTGCTGCTGCTCCTCTCCTGCCAGCTGCCGCCGTGTCAGGCCAGCTCCTTGGATCTCCCACCTCCCTGACACCTGCTGCTCCGGGCTTCCCAAAGCACCAGCTCACTTCTCTAAGGTCCTCAGAGGATGGGATTGCCCGCGTGGAGTGGAGAGGTGGACCCAAGTAGGATAGATGTTCTGGGGGTACCAGCTGGTTACCACTTCTGGAGGAATGTCCAGTGTTTCCTCCAGGTTCCTACTGCCATTAGGAGACTTGAGGTTGGACTCTGGGACACATACACCTTTGAACAGGTGACTGTCACTGTCTCCAGAATAGGGAGAGCGGCCCTATTCCCTAGTGTCTTTGCTACGTTGCTGCGTGTTGAGCCCTCGCTCTTGAAAAGGCCCTGTTGCTCCACAGACTTCCATCAGTTTCAAGACAGATGGGGCGTGGCCGGCAGTGCTAAGCGACTGGAAACATGGACATCAAGCGGGCAGACCTCACCCGAGGGACTGGGACTGCTCATGCAAATCAGCCAAGGGCACGGTGCTTACTTGGCTCTCCCATTTGCGCACCACAATCCTGCGCCTACGTCACCTTTGTGGAGGGAATGAGTGTTCTGACAAGGGGCTCTCGTCGGGGACTTCGTGACTGAGCCCCGTGCCTGTCACATCATGTAGATCAGGGTTCCAGACTTTCTCCCTGGAGTCCTCAGAAGGAACTATCAGGATGAGCACATCTTCCTCTTCCTCTCTCGTTGTCCAGGGTACAGCGAATGTGATATCGTCCACTGATTGAGCCTGGCTCATTCCTGCAGTGAGGTGTTGAGAAGCCCAGCGGCCATCTCTGTTTGCACACTGTCTGGCGGCTCCTCCTCCGAGAAGTCCCATTTTGACCAAGCTGTCCTGCTGCCTGGAGCATGACGTAATCCGGAAACACGCACACAAGCGTGCACACACGTTTGTTTGCTGGCGAGACTGAAGTCCCCTCTCACCTCTTGTTTCGTGATCATTTGTCACAGAAAGGGATCAGGCATTCTTTTTAAAAAAAAAATCATTGTCCTTTCTTTAAAACACTTGTCTAATGTTCAGAAACACTTTGTGCAAATTCAAAGAGCAAGTGTTTCCAGATTTTTAAACACACAAAGTTGCTTTCCCTGAAATAGTTTGTGATTTTTTTTTTCTAAAATGACCTCAAATTTGTCATTGGTCTTCTGTTATTTTTTCCTTAAGAAATCTCTGGCTTCTGTCTGGATGAAGGCCACCATTTCAGTGGTTGTATCAATCTAACTTCTAAAACAGTTTTCAAACCTGTTTCTGGCTGATCGGGCCCAGTTCTTTCCCTTTAAGGCTCTGATGGTTTCCAATTCAGAAGACCCACCAAAGAAATGTGAAAGACGAAGTCCGTTGCAGTAGCCCTGGGGCCCAAAGTGGACACACATGACGATGATTACCTGTCTGGGAGCTTGTTGGGGGGATGTCAGCGGCGGAGGGGGAGGGGGGATTCAGGAGCCCCTGCAGAAAGGGAGGGGTCGCACTGCTGTAATCTTGACTGCACTCTGAGACTGAGTCCTGTGCTACAAAGTCACACATTGTGCAGGACAATACGCTCAGACCAAGCCTGCTCTCAGGATAAATATCCTACGTGTACCTGTGGCGAATTCTCTCGGGAGCACCCTCACTGTGCTTGGGGGACATAGAAAGTCCTTTGGCTGCATCCGTGGGATAAAGGGCGCGACAAAAGCTTTCAACAAGAGCTCAGGGGCTGCCGCCGTCCTGGGGTGGTACAAGGCCTGTGCTGTTTGCTCGCGTTGCCGTTGAAGAGACAGCCAGTTTAGCTGGAGGGTAGCTGGAGAGAACCAGTGACTGCAAAGAGGCTGTTGGCAGAGCAAGCCCAGAAGTAATGAGAGCAGTTGAGCAGCCCAGAGATGTGGCAGCCAGAGGTCAAGACTGTGCACACACAAAATGACCTCCCCACACCTCCCAGACAGATGCTGGGAGGCCACCGCACCTGTTGGTGCTGGATGCTTGAGGGATTAGCCTGGTTTTATTTTAGCAGCAGGAGAAGCCAGTGGGAAACCAGAATCTGTCTGGGGAAGGGACTTTCCGTGACTGTGGGCGGTCACCTGGCCAGCATTGGGCAAACGGGGGCAGCTGCTGCCTCTGTGGCTCCCAGCACCCAAGAGAATGCTCTGGGTCCCAGAGGGCATATGTTGGGAAATCTAGTAATATCCAAATGTTTCTCACTCTGGGTGACAGCCTGTCTGTCTAAACCTTGAGAGAAGGGAGGAAAAAAAGAAATATTCTCAATAGAAGGAAGAGCAGAGTCTGAGAAGGATTCTGGAGTCAGACTTTAAATCAGTTCTGCTGTGTGACCTTGGGTGAGTCCCCAAAACGCTCGGCTCCCCGGCTAGCACACCTCCATGACCTCACGGGAGGCCGTCCAAGGCAGAGACCGGTCAGGCAGCGGCCGCAGCGTCAGCAGCGCAGCTCCTCCACGCCCATGCCCACCGGCAGAACCCCACCGGCGGCAGAGCAACAGCAGATCTGAGGCCAGGCGGGGATCCCTGTCCTCCACTGAGTCTCCATTAAAATCGGCCGTGCTAGCTCCCCGTCTCAGTTCCAGGAGGGCCCAGAGGGCTTGGGAAACCACCGCCTCGCTTCCGCTCGCTTCCGCTGCCCTGCCCGAGCTGTCAGATCTCCTGTCCCCAGCTTCTGGCTCTTCACCTTCACAATTCACTGCCTCTGACCCTGAATCCAGTTGTTCCAACCCAGAAGAAAAAACACCGCCCAAGCCAGGCCGAGTGGAAAGTCTGGCGGTGCGTGTCACTCCTCGTTGCTGCTGTCTCTACCCCAGGCACCTCAAACACAAGAAAAACCTAGATTTCTCTTGTCCAGTGGCTCCCGTAACCGAGGTTCAGGGAGTGCCGTGTGCAGGTGGTTCCCTGACCTCCCACTCTCCTCCCTCCTCGATGTTCTGCAGGGCAAGCCTGGAAGTTGAGCCTGTAGAACGAGGCAGCTTCAGCTTGCAGGTGGCGAAACAGGTCCCCGCAGTGAGCCACTCAGGGGTTGAAAAGACTCACGGCGACTCTGACGCCCCCTGGTGGAACTGATGGATGAAAAGCACTAGGAGTAAAGGTACTATTTGCCAGAAGCAGTGAAGAACTAAGCTTTGCCTGCTTTTACCCGGATTCTGCCCAGTGTATGGTAGTGGTGGGTTTTTCTTTCCTTTGCTTTTTTTTTTTTTTTTTTTTTTTTTTTTTTTTTTTTTGACACTGCTTAGAGGAGACAAGATAACTATGCCGTCACGTTTTCATGTTCCCCGGTTTGAAGGCACCATTGTCAACAGGTTAAGTGCCCCCAGACGCAACTTCAGCCAAGCTTGAGAACCACAGACCAGCTTCTCTCACCGCGTTTCTAGAACGCCACGGTAATTTGAGTTTTAGCTCCGACTCCAGCTCAACGGCCCCCTTGGGGAAAATTACACTGTATGGTTTTCCTGAAGCCTGGCGCTGCTGCTCTTAACGTAGCTCAAAGATGACCAAGCGACACTACCATTCACGTAGAATTACCCCTCGCTCCCCCAGTCTTAGAGAAATGCACCTCCGCCCTCTTCCTAAGTATCTCTGGGTTAGGAAATTCCGTCATTTTCCCATGGCCCTTACATCTTTGAAAGTTCCTTGGCACTGTCTTCCATTGTTTTGGCTGCAAGGTAGTCCCTGTCATGGAAGGCTTATCCATTCCCCTGGAGATGGACAGCAGCTGACCGCTGTACTTTAATGTAGAATAGCCTTGAAGTCATATTACATTTCAGCCCAGTGCTAAATAAAGTCTGGATGTCCTGTCTCTTGTTCCAGCATTATCATCATGATTTAGAAAACAACAAGTTTAAACAGTGAAAGATTTTCAAGTCAAGGCGAGGAAAATCCAACACACAGTCCCAACATGGCTAGCTCTGGGGCCCCGGCTTTATATTTATTCTAAATCTTGACTCTGTGTGTGTGTGTGTGTGTGTGTGTGTGAATTATAACTCTAAGTCCCTTGAACAGAAGGTTATCCAAAAGAATTCAAAGCTCTCTTGGGGTGCTGAAACACGGCCATCACAGGAGGTTGATTTGCATTTCATGATTTTTCTTTCATTGCTTATCTTGAGCCTTCTATAAATCACCAGGTACCAGGAAGGTCCCTTTCAAGAAGAAGACAAGCTGTGGCCCGAGTTTTACTCTGCTCCCATCTCAATGTGGGACACCTTGTGAAATATTTGGCTTCATTGAGAGGTGCATTTTCCCTTTATTCTGTCTTTCCTCACAATTTTCTGTTCACTTACATAGAACCAGAAATACAGGGCCAGGCAATACTCAAGAAATATTTGGGCCAGATACTGTAAGGAACTGGGACACAGCCATGGACAAAACACACAGTCTATTCCATCGTGTGGTCTACTGTGCAATCGGCAAGATGGACATGAACCAATAATCTGTTCATTATAAGCAGGTCAAGAGCTATCAGAAGAAAATAGCCTAATAAGAATCTTATCATTAGGTGCAGAGCAGAAAAAATAAAATCCAAATAATTATCAGCAATATCCACCCCTAGAGATAAAGCCCTAATTGCTAATACAACAGAGCGTCTCCCCTACAGCCAAATTCCCAGAAAGAACACTTGGCCCTGTAGTTCTCCAATAAGAGACTCTTCTGGGAGGGGCAGCCTTGCTCCACGTGTGTGTCCCTGTTCTATTACTAAACTAAACAGGGCAGTGAAGTAATTAGTGGGACCCTGCCTGAGATCTGGCCAGAGAAGAGGGTGCTAGTTCTCAGGAGTGGGTGACTCAGAAGAAACAGATTTTTTTGAGATTACCCTCAGGGGCCAGTGCCGTGGCTCACTTGGTTAATCCTCTGCCTGCGGTGCCGGCCTCCCATATGGGTGTTGGGTTCTAGTCCTGATTGTTCCTCTTCCGGTCCAGCTCTCTGCTGTGGCCCGGGAAGGCAGTGGAATATGCCCCAAGTGCTTGGGCCCTGCACCTGCATGTGAGACCAGAAGGAAGCACCTGGCTCCTGGCTTCGGATCGGTACAGCACCGGCCGTGGCAGCCATTTGGGGAGTAAACCAACGGAAGGGAGACCTTTCTCTCTGTCTCTCTCTCTCACTGCCTATGACTCTACCTGTCAAATAAAAAAAAAAAATTACCCTCAATGTGTCTGAGAGTTTCTAGTTAATGATCAAGTATCACAACAATGTAATAAGCATATGGATGGAGCAGTGAAAAGGGAAGCTGATATGAGGCAAGAATAATAAATGAACGACAGGAAGACTGAATGGAAACTTAGTTGAGGGTCAGGTTCAAGCAGTAGTATTTTTTTCTGAAAGTCTAAGGGAGGGGAAGGGAACCACTGCTAAAAGTTATAGATAGGAAAGGGATTTTGAACAAGAGGACAAATGATCTGGGATTGGTACGTGGAGGGAAAGATAACTGCTTCTTTGAGTTACATAAGTTAAGGGTTTGGGTAAAACACCACTTGGGATGCCATATCCCATATCGAAGTACCTAGGTTTGAGTTCTGGCTTTGCTTCCCATTCCAACTTCCTGCTTAGTGCAACCCTGGGAGGCAGCACACGTGGCTTATGTGGTCTGTCTCTGACTCCGCATGTGAGAGACCGGATTGAGTCCCTGGCTCCTGGCTTTGACATCACCCAGCCCTGTCTGTGGGGAGAATTTGGAGGGTGGGGAGTAAACGAATGGGTGAATACTCTGTCCTCTGTCTCTCTCCCACCATGTGTGTATGTTTGTCTCTCAATTAAGTTGTTTTTTTTTTTGTTTTTTGTTTTTTAGTAAGAATAAAGCATTGTACCTCAATAGTAGAGACAAGGGCTGTAAACAATAATGAAATATCAGAAAAATAAAATAGCTTTTTAAAAGCAAGGGGCAAACTGCAAGGGAAAAGAACGTCGCTTAACCTCATGAAAAGTCCTGGGCAGTAGTGCTGGTGGCACAAATGATGGATAGAGCCTACAAAATGTCATTTTAGTGCGAACTATAAAATGCACTGGGAAAAGGGAACTAGACCAAAGGAGGAGGGACAAGCTTTGATGCGGATTTATGGGTTTGATTTTGTTCATTTTCAGGCAGACCGAAAGCAAAAAGAAAGAGCCCCTTGGGGTCCACTGGGCTGGCATTGACGACAACTGCAGGCAGTGTTTGAAAATACCATTATTTCCACGCAGGGGGAAGCTTCCATTGTGTTAGCCGGCCTGGCCTGTCATACCAGAGGAGAAACGTAACCGTCCTCACAGATAAAAGGAGACAGGCACAGAAAT